ACTAAGAAAGAAGTTGAAGTTGATTAATGTCTGGATTTTCTTGCCTTTTTTTATTTTTTTTCTTAATTTTTTATTATGCTCAGGTGTCCTTCTGTTAGAAATTCATGTTTGAGTTATTATTGGACACTAAATTTAAACACTTCTCCTAATGAAAAAATTTTTTGGGTCAAGTTTCTTATGAAAATTTGAATATTGATTTATCACATTATGAGAAATTATTGTTATTTTACAAAACCCAATTCTTGTTTGCATTAAATATGTAATGGTTTGCACAGTGCCAAATGTCTTTTATTATGATAATAATTGTTTGAGGCATATTTGGAAATATCTTCTATTCTTTCCCTAGAATTGTGAAAAAAAAAAAAAAAAACCCTAAGGATGTTATACTGCTCAAAATTAGGGCTTATAAAATAAGATGGAGTACATGTTCCCAAGCAATTTTTTTTAAGTGATTTACTAATATAGTTTTCTAATTTACTATTGAATTCAGTAAGCCTTAGAAAAAATATTGAAGTTGCAAACAATGGTCCATCATTCACAAAAAAATTTGAAGAGAAACAATATCTTTACTGTAAACAAATTCATTCTACAAGAAATCTCATTTCAATCATTATCAGTAAACAACTTTGACCAAACCTCACCTTCACATTACTTGAAATAAAATCATGCAAACTAAACTAATAGATTCTTGATATAGCGTTCGTTCTTCTTGCATATTTGATATGCTTTTTGTTCTGTCATTTTAGAATTTTTAAATAAATCTTATTGAATATTAAATAATGATTATAAAAGCATAATAAATATCAACATATCATTATAATATCATATTCCAATTATATAATGTAAATATAAAACTATTTTCCCTTTTTCTTTTATGCATTTGAGCTTCCCAGGTGAAGAAACCAAAGCCTTTATGCGCCATTTGTAATTATGCACTATTTTGATAGAAATAGAATTATAAATAAAAATAGAAATAACACTAGAAAAAGAACAGGGATTAAGTTTGAAAGTATGTTTGATATAACAGAAAAAATTGGTAAATTTTTTTTGAAGTAATTAATTAATTAATTTAATTAAAACTTTCATACTGTTTTGCCTTCTTCGATGTTCATCGGCAGCAATTTAACACAATCAACAATGCATGGTGTAAAATCACGTAAACTTGTAATCAATCAACTATTTAAAATCATGCAAATTTGTATTCTTCTTTGAATCAGTCACTAAGTAAGGCCTTAGATATATTCTTCAAATCCCAAACCATCGAACCCGAACCTGAACCCCACAGCTTCGACGTTGGTCAATCTCCTTCTTCGAACCCTAGACCCACTGAACCCAAATCCACAGGTTCAGGGCATGTTTGCTTGCTGTTCTCATGTTTTGCTTTTAAAAACTATTTTGTAATGTAGTTTTTAAAATTATTTTTCAAAATAAATTAACTGATAATCCATTTTATTATCTCAATTTTTTTAAAAAAAATTAGAATTAAAAAATAGATTAATAGTGATGGTTATAGATAGTTAGTGTTGATGATCAATAATATAAATTAGTCAAGGTAACTATTGGCTAAATTATATAGAACTTCCTTAAACTTTGAACTATGTACAAATACCTCTCTTAACCTTTAAACCTTAATAATAAACCTAGAATTGGTAATTCAAGCTAAGCTCAACGGGTCAACTCAAACCTGCTCAGAAAAAGTTAAGGCCAAGTTTAGCAATATGAACTTTTTTAAAAGGTAGCATATTTTAAGTTCAATCTGAATGAACTAACTCAAATAAGCCCAACTACTAAAATTTTTTGTTCTACATATGTATATAAAGTTAGTAATTTTGGCTAAACCCAAACCAAGCCGAAAAAAGTTAATGTTGGGCTTGACAATATGTATTTTTTTAAGAGGGCAGGACATTTTTAGCCCAATCCAAATAAGCCCAACATCCCTAATTACCGACTCTAAATAAATTTTCTTGAGCTTTCAGGTTTATGCAAATAACCCTTAGTCATTAATTATATATCTCCTTAAACTTTATTTTTGTGTGTATTTAAGCTTCCAAACGTTTATTGATATACAAATAACCCTTAAATTTTAAGTTATATATAGGTAACTAATATATAGGATTAATCATATAGAGTTATCTGTATAAATATAAAAGTTGATAGGAGTTCATTGTAAAGTTTTAAAAGTTAAGAAGGTTATGTATATGTGATTCAAAATTCAGGAAGTAATATATAACTTAGCCTAATTTTTAATAATCAAATTTAGTATATTTTAAAAACAAAAAAAAAATGAAAACAGCTTGGGGTTGTTTTTTTTTTAAAAAAAGAACAAAAAGCGAAAACATTTTTAAAAACAATTAAATGAAAAATACTTATTGAAACAAGTTTTTAAAATTTTTTATTTTCAAAAATAAAAAAATAATTTTTTAAAATAAAAAACAAACCGGCCCTTAATATCGTGATCTTTATTTATTTATTTATTTATTTATTTTCCTTCTTTGAATCCCAGAACCACTGAACCCAACCCCACAACCATGTCACTCCAGCAACAATTGATAGTGCTCGCTAGAGAAGATGACGAGGACAATGATGAGGACCGGCAATGGACAATGACAATGCTATGCTAGGTTGCTTAGCCAAGAAGAGAGATACTAGACATTGAAGGACCACAAAAAAAGTATTTTGGCCAGGAGAAAATTTTTTCTATGAAAATAAAATTTTCCTTGGCCTAAGGCTTGGAATCCAATTCCATACTCTCTCAAAATTTAATTCCTAATGAGCTAAATTCTTGTCAACCAAACAAGATAAGTTTTTTTTTTTTTTTTTTTACCAATGGGCGCTCAGTAGAGCTGGCAAGAGCTACTATTGGCATTCCTCAAATTGAGGGTTCGAATCCTGAAAAGTGACAGACGCGATAATTAATGAAACCTCAAAAAGATCGTCCCATCGATACTCCTCTACCATTATAACATCTCTTCGCAGGGGTTCTAGATTAGTCTGAGACGGACAATGAACCCAAAATATCTCAGAATACTGGATGGTTTATACATAAAAAAAACAAGATAAGTGTTTCTTTTCTCATCCTTTTTTTTTTCTGGAGACCAAATCCCAATGAAGCAAACAGGGCCAATTCATTCTTCTATAGAATTTCTTCTTGTTTTTTTTTTCCCTCTCAATAATGACCAAATATATTTATGTTATGGAAATGAGCAAACATATTATTAAATTAAGTTTACATTAAAAGGAGAATGTCATCCTGAGGGTATCTCAACTGGTGAGAAACAAGTGGAGATACCTAGCAGGCACTTTTTATGGCAATCCTTGAAAATATAATTCCAATTTGGAAAGCCACAGGGTGAAAGAGAGCTACAAGAGCAAGGCTTCAAGCACAGCCCATAGTTGGAGCAGTAGTCTTCTCACACGTGTCTGAGGAATATAAAGCTAGGAGCGGAGTTGCTGAAATTCAAACTTGATCTCAATGTTCTTTCTACTTTCTTGTGAGTAAATATTGGTCATAAAAAATATAATTTTTATAAATTATGAATGAAATTTTTAAATATTTTAAAATATGATTCATTTATAAAATTAATTAAAGGTGATTTGTTTTATTTACAGAACAAATATATTATTAAAACATTTTACATAAATTAATCCACAAATATATCTTCTATGATGAATTAAATGATTTTAACTTTTAACTAACTGAGTTAAATCATGCACACATGTCCTCATATCTCTCCCCTTTTCAAAATAATTCCTTCCTTTTCTTGGTGGGCAAAGGAGTTAAGATAATATTTACATATTGCTTTCTTATTTTTCTAACAAGTGCACTTTTCTGCAAGAGATGTCCCAACATGTGCAATTCAATTTTGTGCCTCTGCAAACTAGTCTTATTGCCAAGCTTTCTTGTAAGAAGATGAATGTAAACCAATAACTTTCATTATAGAGGGATATTTAATTCTTTATGATAAATTAAGATGTCTAAGAATTTTTACAGCCTGTGTTTGATCTGTTTTGAACAAATGATTATATTTTTGTTTTCATGTTTTTAATCCACAATAATATATATTACCGATAAAGCATATTAGTGAAAATCAAATAATTATGGGCCGTGTTTGACCTATTTTGAACAAATAATTATATTCTTTTCCATGTTTCTGATCTACTAAACCATATCAATGAAAACTTATCAATATTATTTAATCTTATAAATACAAGAATGTTTAATCTTGTTATTTTTTTCTAAAGAGGGTCAAATTAAGCTATCTTCATCTTTGTGTATTTGAAAAAAAAAAAAATTTGTCCTAAAAAAAAAACATTTCAAAGGTTTGCAAATAATAGTTGTCATAAAAAACTCAACTAAAAATTAAAATGACCATAATAAAAAATATAGCAAATATTAAACTTTTTATTGAATTTAGTTACATAAAATGGACTGTGTGTGTGTTTCTATGGTCTCATTTCTTATTGAAACCCAAGATAGTTTATGTTGCTAGTTAAGCTTTGTAAGTAATAACTACACTATTTACAAATCAAATAAGATACAGGCAACTACTTCACAATTTAAAAAAAATATTAATTAAAACATTAATTTATTAAAAAAATTTACACCACCTTTATTTTATTCTTATTAAATACTCTATATAAATACTTTAGTAATCATAATTAAAATTTTAATCATTATGTTTTTTCAAACAGATAATAAATAAAATAGAGGGTACAGTTTAATAAACAATTATAACAATTATCTAAGGCTTTTAAAAAAAAAAATATCTTACATATAATGCGGCATGAAGGAGCAAATAATGTGGGAACGTTTACTTCACATAAAAATACGAATCTTGCTGAAAAGAGAGAGCCCGATGCTAATGCTGCTTTACCGCAGCGCCAAGCCGGACGCTAATGCTAACGGAGGCTTAGTGCTTTCTCACTAGGCCCATTTTCACAAAGGGTCAATGTCAGGCATATCAGCGCAGAACAGGAAGAAATCATGGCGGCGCATGTGATTGTACCACATGGAATCAACTCATGAAAAAATGTGCAAATCAAACAATTTCGTATCCAGAAACCCTGTGTTTATACTCTTGGCTAGTTTCCCGACTGAAACCTCCCAACTGACATGATTCAAAAACTAGCAACAAATAAAACTAAAACTAGTGAACTCCCAGATCCCAGAAGCACAACCCTCGACAATTTAAAACTGAATCAAACTCCTGGAATAGACTCCAGTTAAAACAGACCGCTCAATAGCATTTCTCCATGACAGACACAATCCAAAGACTGAATATCCCAAGATGAGGGAAGAAAAGAGGAACCACCACGCCTTGTCATGTTCCTAAGTAGCGGGAAATAATCAAATACGAAAAGATTATACTTGTCTCAAGTTGATGACGATGAAGTCCCTTCACCTTTCTCTCCCACGTCTTTCTTCTCTGTCTCTTTCTTTTCGGCATCTTCCTTCGCTGTCTCCTTCTTCTCGGCGTCTCCCTTCCCTGTCTCTTTCTTCTCGGCATCTTTATTCTCTGTATCTTTCTTTTCTGCCTCTGCCTTCTCGCCAACACTTAAGTTCTCAAGAAGACCAGCAGCAGCAGTTGCATCCTTGTTTTCCTCATTACTCTTCTGGGATTCAGCAACCTCTTGGAACATTTCCATAAAGGTTTTGCAATCTAGTGGAGAAGAAAAAAAAAACACCAGTGAGTACATGCGGATACAAGCTACAATTGTACTTTAGAGTGGTAATGCAAAACATTATATTCTTGCGTACACTCTTGTCAGGATCAAAAGAAATATTTATATCATAAAAACATTCGATATTCAATACCCCGGCCTCATCCATGCCATTGTTACACTGCGGAGAGTACAGAAAAAACCAGGGGAAAAAAGAAGTAAGCTAAAATTTGAGCACGTCATTACATAGATCATGCAGATCACTACGCAAGGAACATAATACCCTTCATAGACTCTCAATTTGAATGTGATCATAAAACATTTCAGTTCCTGACACCAAGGCAGTAAAATGAACTCTTGCAAACATAAGAAAAGGGTGAGGCTTGCAACTCTAGAAAGTTTGCACATCAATGCATAAGCAGGTGACAGTGTGATGTATGAGAAGGTAAAGATGTGCACCATATGTCAACTAGGACCCAGATGATATCTTGAAATCACGCACTAGCACACAAGGCTTCTAAGAAGTATCAACCCTAATTAAATTGATTATAAAACAAATCCGTTGTCCTCTTCTGATGCATTGAGACCATCATTATGATCAACTTAAGAGTATCAGAATTTAATATCCAAGACCTCAACATTCATCTTATTGTAGTGAACCACAAAAGAAATAGAAAGCAACCTGCTTATAGACCTTTGAATTAGTTTTCTTCCGTAAGGGGGAACGCTGAATAACAGAACCTCAAAGACGAAATCATATAGACAACATGAAAAACCAAGTTGTCAGTTGTGACATTAACTAGAGAAATCTACGAATCTATGAAATAGAATATAAAGCAAATAGTTCTACTAACAATTTTCACTTGATTATCAACCAACAAAACGTAGCATAAAATTTCAAACTCAGGCAAACATTTAACAAAAAAAAAAAAAAAATTCCACATAAAGATTACACAGTTTGGTTTTTTTGGTGTTGAGGGGTAACAAAATCACACATCCAATGTGGGCAGTTCATTCATGGGATATCAAGAATACAGCAGAATGACAAGTTGAAGCCTCTTAGGAACTTGATCTATATAATTACATATTAACCCACTAAGATCGTCAACCACAATATCACTTTTTCAACCATAACAATGCAAAGGAGGAAGAATACGATTGTTACCACAATTAATCAAAGATTACATTTTCAGAAGTATATATATCTGAGTGACTATCCTCGTCACACACAAATAACAAAATCAACTAGGACTGTTTGCAACATATATTAGTAAAGCATTCACGAGATGGTTCAAATTGAATTTTACATAGCGTAAATACACAAGCATACTTTCAATTGACGCAAATCGAATGCAGAAGAGTTCATCCTTCAGTTCACCATCAGCATAATCCCTCGCGTGCCAAACGCAAGATTTTTCGTTCCCAGCGTGTTCTTGCACCGTCATTGATGGTACAACTGCAAGGGATAAAAAGAAAACACGGCATTGATCACAAGAAAATAAAACGGCAACAAAACTGAAAATAAGACGCATTAAGAAGCACACTTACTGAGATGATTAGCGCAGATCTTGAGGGTCTTAGATTGCCTCATCACGAGTCTAACTTTTCCAGTAACCTTGTGCTTCAGAAATTTCACAGTACCCGCGCCTCGCTCCTTCCACTGATTCCCATCCTTATCGAATCGATAAAGCTTCGATTTCCTACAATTGAGCAAAAATACCTAGAATTTCAGCAACTAAATGGCCAAAACCCTAATAACAAATAGGAGAAGGGGAAAACTACATAATTATTTTTCTTACAAGTCAAGAAGAACATCTTCGTCTTCTTCGCCGGTGGAGACGGCGACTTCCTCAAGTTTAACAATCGGAGCAACTTGAGCTCCGGTGTCCTCATCCTCGCCGGCGGGGGCCTCCTCCTCTTCACGGTGTTCGGGATCGGCGCTGGACATGCTGGGATTTGGTAGAAACAATTTCCCGCTAGGGTTAGAGTCGGAAGTGATCAGTGACGGAGCAGGGCTGGCGGAGTGGAAAAGGAAAGCAACCAACCCAAGCGTTATATGGAGTTCAGCTGGAATAGAACGCAGTCATCAGCTTTAACGGTCAGATGATTGCCACGTTGTTCAATTATTTGATGTCGGCCGACCAACGGTTCAGGTTCAGATCTTTCTTTTTTTGGGAAGTAAATCAAATATAAATAATAATAAAAATACAAATGGAAAGAAAATATTTTTTTTTTTTTACATCCAATCATAATATTAGTAAAGAATCCGGCTGGGAAAAGAAAATTAGCCGTACTATAAAATCAAAAGGAAAAGAAAGAGGGCAATTTATGAAGATCTTCATTGACAATGTTACACTTTAAAATTGAAGGTGAAAAATTAAAGTGCTTTACACTTCCAAGAATCTTTGTAGCGTAGAATGGCTTAAATGAAATTCAAGTAATGCGGTTGATATAAATATTATTGTTTGGACTAAAATATGAAACATTGTTCAGATAGGTTATAGGACTAGTTGGGCTGAGTAACTAAAGAGTCAGGCCTAATATAAACAAAAAGGTTAGCCTCGAAGCTCAATAAAGGTCACGATAAAATAAATATGCCGAAATTTCGCTAGTTACAAGCATTGGACCATTGGCACAAGAAGACATGATCTCGAGTAATTCTTGAATTCGCAGACATTGTGCCTTGGTATCTTGGTGAGACGAGCTAATTACTAAAAACGGGAAACTTAAAATAAAGATTATGCCATGAGTTTTACGAGATTCCTAATTCCTTGGTAAAATGTGCTAGGTATTAAAGGAAAGACTACCACTACTCTGACACTATAAATAGAAGACAAAGACACAAAAGAAAACAGTCAACACTTAATTAAAGACTTGCACTTTTACATCTTGTAGCTTTCATTTTATCAATTAATTTTACTTTCAATTTAGACTTGTAGCTTCTCGTATTTCAATAAAATTAAACACTTGTTCTACCAAAGCCTTGTATCTTTTTATATCCGAATGAATTGTGATAAGAGAGCTCAAGACCCTTTTGTTTTTAATTGAGACTCAGCATCTTTGGCATGCTTGGTATTTGTTGTTCACCATGAACAATTTTTGGCACGCCCGGTGGAACCTGTGTAACAAAGATAGTAAGGACACGAAAAGACAAAATGATTAATGAAACAGGGGCTAATTCTTATAAACCAAAAGGGACCTTTGCACACGCAGGGTTAGAACACTTAACGCCTAATGTTGAAGCGGCTGAACATCATGAGCACATAGTGCCGATGTCGATAAGTAGCAGTAGCACAAGCCTTGGCTCAAAGCTAGGAAGTGGACAAGCTAACCCACTGATCATATCCAATAGTCCTATGGCAAAAGTACTACGGGAAATTCAAGACTGGATGGATAAGCAGTTGGAAGAGAGCCAAAGGTTCTTTACACTATCCCTAGAAACGTTAGAATGTAGGGAGAAGGAATGACAGCAGATCATGATGCAGGCTTTACATGATGGCATGAAGAACATAGCCACATCATTGAAAAGCACTTCTCTAAAAGTAGGCTCACATTTAGAGCCGAATGGAGGACAGCAAGCAAGAATCAATATAGGTGCTGGCCTTTGGGGCCGCTCGCTTGTAAGGGATATCCCTAACCCCAAAATATTTTCTCACACTCACACTAATCCTTTAAGTAATCCTTTGTATTATTTACAGGAGCCCAACGCGAGTAGCCCCGGGGGCATGGCAATGATCCTTAAGCATTATAATGAGCCTTAAAACCAACTGGTAAACATAGAGGCCCTAAGGGACACTATCCAAGATATATATGGACCAGGGCTAAGGCCAATTGGCCGCCCCACCTTCTCAAAGCCATATCTAGAGTATATAGACAGGGACAACCCATACCCTCGAGGATACAGGATCTATGACTTCACGCTGTTCTTAAGGGACAGAATGCAATCGACACTAGAGCATATTTAAAGGTTTATAATTCAATGTGGGGAGATTGCCAATTATGAGAACTTCGCCAACTTAAAACTGAGATTGTTCTCGAATACTCTCATGGGCCCAGTGTTCATATGGTACACTTCACTACGCCGCAACTCAATCATTAGCTGGATGAAAATGAAACAAAAGTTCCATATCCAGTTCAATAAGGTAGAGCCGGAGGTCAACTTAGTAGAACTCTACAAGCTCACCCAATGGGTTGGGGAGACGGTGGACCAATACTTGGTAAGGTTGGAATGACTGAGGAGCAGGTGCTATGTGCCACTTCCAGAAACTGAATTTGTCAAGCTGGCATAAGCAAGATTGGATATAGAGCTTCGAAAGAGATTTTAGGGTATGGAATTTTAAGATTTCTACGAGCTCACAGCCAAAGTATGGGGATATGAGAAATTGCTCAAGGAAGAGGACTATCGCCAACAGAGTACGACAAGAACCTATTTTAGGGACCTTGACATAGTGGTGGCAAAACAAAAAAATGCTGGCAACTACACATGCTCATCTTTGATAAGGAAGGCTGGAGAGATTCCCAAAAGGCTAAATGCAATTCAGTACACCTTTGACACCACTAAAACAAAGGAAATCTTTGATTTACTCCTTAAAGAAAACTTCATCTCCCTGCTTGCTGATCATAAAATCCCTTCAAAAGAAGAGTAGAGAGGAAAGGAATATTGTAAGTACTATTACTCGTGGAGTCATAGCACCAAGGCATGTTGGGGTCTTAAGAATATCATCTAGGATTGAATCAATAAGAGAGTTCTTAAGTTTCCTAAGGAGGAATCCATAGCCGTAAACGAGGACTCGTTCCCACCATTTGCCATAGTCAATATGGTGGAAATAAACTCCAGTAAATAATGATTCAAGAGAAATGATGGTAAGCAGAGAGATGTGAGACCCTACAATGTCTGGAATAGGGAGGAAGTGACTCAGGAAAGCTCAAGGACAATATGGGATTGCTTGAACAAACCTGCGATTCGGTCCAGTAAGAACAGGTCTTCTAGGTAGGACGTTTTCCCGGAAGGGCAAAGCGTCAAAAGCTCGAACGGTTCCAAGACAATTTGGGACCGCCTGGGAGACAGAATATAAAGAAAAATAACAAACAACCCTCAAGATTGGATGTTGGCCTGGGGGAGTGATAATGATAGAGCCAGATTGACTAAGATAGTTTGGGATCATTTGGGGGAGCCATTGGGCAAATTCAACTTCTTTATTAAGTACTTAGCACTATTAGGAACAGGTGAACCATTCATGAGGACACCGATGGGTTGGGATATGAGCCCTGATGGCTTACCTTTGCCACTATTAACACTATCGAAAAGCATCACAGAGCTTCCTTCAAAACCAAAAGTCGCTAAGGGCTCGAGCAAGTTTATTACGTCACCTGGTAATGTGTCACCTCTGAAATGGATAGTCGTAAGGCACAAGAAGTTTCTAGCTGACTTAAATGACATCTTCAATGAAAGCAGGTCGCACAGAGATACCTCAAGCAGTAGAAAATTGAGGTACAGGAAGGCCTCGATATTTAGTAGGAATCTAACAAGTTCAAAAGAAAGTCCACTAAGGACCACGACGAAGGGAGTGAGAATGAAAATCAATGTGATGGTACCATTCAAGTTGGGGAGATACCTCTTAACCTTTGCTACGTGATTTCATTAATTCTCCCTTCTCAGTTCCAGTCTATAACCAATAGGGCTCAGGATCAATATGAATAGAAATCCTCGAGGTTGACAAACATAGGCCTGTATCAATATTGCCCAATGGAGCCAAGGAAAGAAGAGGAGTATGAACCAATAAGGACATAGATGCAGAAAGAGAAGGCTGCGAAGCCCATCTGCCAAGTTACCTTACAAGCTGTGGAAGAAAAGCCAAAGCGAGCTATCCTGGAGAAACCAAGCATTAAGATGACCTAGTACCTGAAACCTTTATATATTACAGTACATTTTGGCAGGAAGCTAATGACTAGGGTTTTAGTGGACAACGGCTCAGGGGTGAATATACAGCCAGTCTGTATGATGCCTAAGATAGGGCGAGAAGAACATGATATGATACCAACTGAGGTGTCTATTGTGGGATTTACTAAGACCGCTTCTAAGGTTGTCGGCGTATTACCATTACAAGTTAATGTTGGGACTAAATCCTCTTTAACGGCCTTTTTTATGATCAGTACTATAATACAATATCAGGCCCTCTTAGCTCGGGACTGGATCTATGCCAATGAATGCGTACCTTCCTTACTACATCAAATACTTTTTATGTGGAAAGGGAAAGAAGTAAAAGTAGTCTACGCTGAATATAAGCCATTCACAGCAGTCACTAACTTTGTAGATGCGAGGTATTATGACTCTGACGTGGTTATATTTATGTTTTGAAAGGCACAAGGAATCATTTCATGCAAAACAATAATGAACACTATAATGCCTCTAACATCACAGAGGTACGAGCCCATCATAGAACTGGTTGATGGCTGAGTCAGACAAAAGAAAGGCCATAATAGCCGTGGCCATTTAGAGGTTATGGTTGCATAACATATAATAGAGACTAGAAGACTACGGACTTAAAATCTTTGGAATTGAAGTCATATATGAAGATGAAACCTAAAGGGTAATGCAACTGCACAAGCTAGACCCTACACCTCTGAAATTTAAAGACATAGCCCCTAAGGTTCAAGATCTACTAGAATAAATAAACCTTAAATCCCCAGAAGAGCTGAGGATCACTTTCATTAGCCCACTATTAAATAAAAAGCAAAAGAATGCCATTAAGCAAGTACTACAGGAGTTCAAGGATTGCTTTACATGGGACTATGATGAAACGCTAGAGTTAGCGAGACAACTGGTCGAACACAGGCTCCCTATAAAGCTGAATTATATACCATACCAACAGCTCGCTAGGAGAATGTTAGTCGAGGTAGAGCTACAAGTAAAAGAGGAGATCAAATGCCTCCTACAGGTCAGATTCATATGGCCTTGCAGGTATGTCCAGTGGCTCTTAAACATAGTCCCAGTGATCAAGAAAAATGGAAAGCTGCGAGTTCGTGTAGATTTCTGAAACAT